CGCAAAACGTATTAATAATCAAATTAATTATTAATATAAATTATGTTTTCCGAGGACTATGAAAAAGGTCCTCGGAAGGTGTGTATGTCCTCGGAAGTTGCTATATATCTGTATTTTTGTCCTCGCAACATATAGCAATCCAAGTACACACATGCATGCACGCACACACACACACACACGGAGGTCAAAACATAAGTCCGTTTTCGGACTGCGTCCGAACGAGGACTAAAAAGTTCATAAAAATTGGCAATAAGTCATGTTAGGATCCAAAACAGGATAAACTCTAAACGACTCTGTTATAGTACACTCTTCTTATACCCGGTAATGAATCAATTCTTTCAGTAAACTGTAGTAAAAATATAATTTTACTGATATTCAAAAATATAGTTTAGTATTCCTGTAATTAATCTATTAAAAATGTTTTTATACTCTCTTATGAATTTAATTGAATATTAAATTCCATATTTGTGTACAGTTTATGTATACATACATTGTAATATTGGGCTCTAAGTCCAATTTGTGTACATTCTATATATACATAAATAGTACTAATATTTGTCAAGATGCCAAGTCAATAATTTGCACAATTAATGTGTACATACATGTAAATTATACTTCATTCTGACGACATGATTCTTACATAAATTGTTTTGGTTACACTTTATTTCTTAGTCATGATATTGTACATTTTATGTATATGTAAATTATACAATATTTAGGCATTGAATCCTATGCAAAAAATCTGTACATTTCTAGTAAACAACAAATATACATTAATGAATTTGTATAAAGTGTGTATACAAATAATGTACTGCTGTTTTCTTGTATGTATGAATTTTGTATACAAATAATGTACACAATTTCAAACAAGCAGCCTATCGGCTGAGATAGCTCCGCTGTTAGCAATGCACATTTCAATTAAAGAACTGAAGACATCATTAGAAAATGAACAATATGAATAGTATCAAAGCAATCGGACTTACAGTTTTCAACAAGAAGTCGAAAATATCACTTTTTACCAAAAATGACAAAAATATTCACCAAAATTAGAGAATTGAAGATATCATCACGAAATAAACAAATCTGAGAGAGGTCCACATGTAGTACCTATATATGTAGTATCAAAGCAATTGGACTTGCGGTTTTTAACAAGAAGTCGAAAATATCACTTTTCACCAAAAATTGACAAAAAATATTCACCAAAAATAGAGAATTAAAGATATCATTACAAAATGAACAAATCTGAGAGAGGTCCACATGTAGTACCTATATATGTAATATCAAAGCATTTGCACTTGCGGTTTTTTACAAGAAGTCGAAAATATCAGTTTTTACCAAAAATGACAAAAATATTCACCAAAATTAGAGAATTAAAGATATCATTACAAAATGAACAAATCTGAGAGAGGTCCACATGTAGTACCTATATATGTAATATCAAAGCAATTGCACTTGTGGTTTTTAACAAGAAGTCGAAAATATCAGTTTTTACCAAAAATGACAAAAATATTCACCAAAATTAGAGAATTAAAGATATCATTACAAAATGAACAAATCTGAGAGAGGTCTACCCAAGGTACATATACACCAAGTATCAAAGCATTTAGGCTTGTAGTTTTCAAGAAGAAGTCGAAAAAGTAAAACATTGACACGGACGACGACGACGGACAATCACTCATATGATAAGCTCCGCTCGACAAAGTCGACAGCGGAGCTAAAAAGTATACTTTTTGTACAGAAGATGTATACAATTAATATACAATTAATATACTATTGGGCGTACAATTTGCATCAAAGCAGTTACAGTTTTTAAGAAAAAGTTGAAAATATTTATTTTTTACTAAAAATGACTTAAATATTTGCTAGAAATGGAAATATTGTCACAAAACAAGCAAATCTCATAAAGGTCCACTCAAGATACATGTATATCATTGAAGTATCCGTACTATAGGACTTGCAGTTTTCTATAAAAAGTAGAATATAATATTCTATCCAGAAAATAATATTCTATCCAGACACAGCGACATTATTTTAATATCACCCAGAACAGCATTATTTTTAACTTTTTATCTCCTACAATCTGCATATCAAATACCTGAGAGATTATCCACACTGCGTGTAGCAAATGTCAACTCTTTGTTTTCAGTTAAATACTTACCACAAGCACCCGTTAACCAAAAAAATGTATTTATCTTGATAAAGTTATATTACAATGAATTATTGTAATATAACTTATTTTGAGCATTAACACATCTATATCAATTACATCAATCAGCGAATGGGCTACAAGTACGGCAATTAGTTTTGATAAGCGAACTAAAAATAACAAGCAATGCATAGTACAGTCCCTGTTAGTTATCAAAATTAAGATATATTGTTATGTTTATAGTAATATAGTTGGAATATAAACATGTCAGAAATATGGATCCAGAAGATGATGCTTGATTATGATGATTTTATAACATTAAAATGATTGACATCTTGTATCTGATTGTCAAACATTAATTAACATTAAAACAAAATGGCCACCAGTCAGCCATTTTAAAGTGGATCTGAAAAATAAAATGATGTGCATGAAGGTCCCATAATGTCCAACATATGTTTGAACAAAATCCACCAAGATCTAGTTCTGGAATGCCAGAAATGCTTGATTTTTGATGATTTTTTAGCACAAAAATAGCTGCTATTTGGCCATTTTGAATCAGATAGTCAAACCAATATATCTA